ACGTGGAAAAGACAAAGTCTCAATTTTGAGGTGTTTCTAAGACAACTTGTGGCCGGAGATGCACACCGACTAATCCAATTCTCTCTTCCTCTTCAGCGATCCATTCTTTGCTATTTTGACCAAAAGAAACATGTCGAAACGAGTAAACTCCTCCATATAACGAACATGTTATGGTTTTCTTAAATTTTGTTAATTTTGAGCGCACAAATCCAGGTTTCCATTACCTACCGTCAAGCACAGGAATGTCATGAAAATCATTTAAGGAAAACTTGAAAAACTTAACTCAAAAAATCAAAAAATGTGTTATAGTATGAGGACAAACAACAAGGTTGAAAAGCTTTGCATACCATAAATAACAAAAACCTCTAGATATAACTTGGAGAATAACATATCACACGATCACCTGAGCGGACAAAACTGTCAGCCAACGAAGAAGCCCAACCAAAACCTCAAAACTAGAAAGTAAAAAAGAGCGGAAGCATAGAAATTCTTTGGTTCGATCTTTCATTGCTCTGAGAATGCCACCATCTTCCATACCATCTTCCACAGGGGCGGCCTTAGCATCTAAGAGGCCCCGGGCAAAAAAAATTACCATGCACATATCATAATTAAAAATAAAATAAATTGAACAAAAACACAATATGAAAAAAACATATTCAAGGTGCACCATATAATGTGAATGTCAAAATAATAAGTTTTTAAAGGACAACATATGTAAAAACATTGCAAACTTATACTTTGAAACACTCTATTGAGCTATTCCTCTTGGCTTCTGGTGTGCAAAATCGAAAACAACATCACTATAAAAAGCTAAAATTTACCAATACAATTATTTGTAACAATAACAAATCAAACAACCAACCAATACCATCAAACATAATTAACTAATTTTACCATCATCTTTCAATTAGCACAAGCGAATATTATTTCATGTATTTATCCACCAATTCATACAATACAACAATACCTATATGGCAATATATCCAATATTACCAATTACTGTAATATATTAACCCAATAAATTAAAAATTGTAATCATTAAATAATAACCATAGGTTAAGAATTTTTAACTTTACACGGTTATACCTTCACTTCAATCATATTAAGCCATTTAGGAATTTACCTCAAATAGTCATCTTAAGAAGTCAAAATGCTTGACGAGATTTTTGTATTACTTCATAGAATCGCAAGCTCACCCAGGCTTCACAGACCTCCACCATTTAGTCTATTTAGATAATTTAACTATTGTATTGACCAAAATCTAAAGAGACTTTCAATTAAATCAGACACATCAGAGAAAGAGTGGGTAATATGAAGTAAGAGATTTAGAGAAGAGACAAGTTTGAGAATTAGAGTCACTAACTCATGGCAGCGGCGGGTGGCAGGTCGTTCAATTGACGAACGACAAGAAGGTGAGAAGGCTGACAAGTTGTCTGCAATTGGATAATTATTGAGGAGTTGCCGATTGGGAATTGGGAATTGTAGAATACGAATTTGTCCTAAATCATGTTGATTGATGGACGCTGGACCAAGTGGATTATACATGCAAAGTATTACATTCTACTAATACGGAGTAGTTTTTTTTAGGCCCCTTCTGTATGTGAGGCCCTAGGCAGCCGCCTCGGCCAACTGGCCCCAAAGTTGACACTGCTTCCATGATTCTTATTGATGGGAGAATAGAAGGCTAGAAGTTAGATCTTGGAGGAGCTAATTTGCCAATCTTATTTCAAATCATTCACGAAGTCACTTATTTCTAATTTTCACGAAACCCGGCAACTGCAATGAGGGGTTACTATGTTATAATATACATAGGGCCTCTGCAAGTACCGGGGACAGAGCCCCGCTCTCTATCTATCAGATTGGGATTATAGTCCAATTTACATTCTCCCAACGTACCATCCGGTCGGGGTTGGGGGCCCTCAGGGATGGGGTGTCATCCTTTTTTTCTAATTTTCACCCGCTATTGGGTGTGTTTTAAAGTATATTAGCTCAAGCATGCACTGAGATGAGAGAGAGAATCAACTAGCCCCCATGGACCAGTTAAATTCGTTAATCCCACAAGTATGTAGTCAAATCTAACAACACTACTTAACTTGCTACTAAATGATAAGCAGGAAAAGACAATTATTCTTAAACGAAAAGAAATAAAAAATTCAAACGTTCCGATTTTACCAGCCACCGGGAAGAGAGAAAAAGTTTTGTTAACCACCACCAAAGGGAGCATCTCATTCGTGTGTCATGTCACTAGTTAACAATTCTTAACCATACAAACTTGTTTTTCTAAATAACCGAACCACCTATTCATGTCTCAATGTAATTAATAGGACAAAGGTAGTAATTTTTAAGGCAAAATTGATAAGAATAATCCATACTTTTAACAATTAAACAAAAACAAAAAGTCTTGGTGTACACCGAGTGTTACACCCTGGGGTACACCATATATAAGGCTTTCTAATTTTTTTTATCCCATCCTCCCACACCTTTCACACACACACGCACGTTCACTTCTCCTCAAAAATTTGAGTGCCTCTTTCCCGCACCCCAGCCCTTCCCGCGTCGCCTTCCTCACTTCGCACAACAACCCCTATCCTCGCATGCTCTTGTTACACCTAGTGCGTCAACAACCAGCAGATGAGATGTGGTTTTGTGTGCGAGGGAAGCTTTTGAAGTTTACTTTCAATGATTTTGTCCGCATAACTGGACTACCACCTACTGGTGAGAGGCCTAAGTTGTCCACCGATGAAGAAGACTCCATTGCTAAGAAGTTCCTCAAGGGACGCTCTGAAATTACATTTCAACGGTTGAAGAATAGGATGGAAGACTACAAGTCTCCAAGGAGAGGTGATCCACTACAGGTGTCAAGCTTGCATCTCTGTACAACACACAGTGTGTCCTGCTTTCCAGAGACAAAAGGACCAAAATAAACCTGGAATTTCTGAAATAGATAGATGACTTTGAGAGTTTCAAGAAGTACCTTTGGGCATTGGAATCTTATAATTCGATCGTGACTCACATGAAGTCGCTAATGGTAGGCCAACCAAAGTTTTTAAGGAAAACAAGGCCGACGACCCTACGTACCAAAAAGCGAAGAATACAATGTATGGATTCCCGCGTGTGTTACAGGTATGATCCAAATTATACACACCTACTTAGTATATTTAATAACAAAACAATTTATCACAACTTTTGCCATTTGTATAGGTTTAGGCGTACGAGAATGTACCGAACTTGGCTAAATTAGTCGCTACAAAAGTAGCTGAAGAGCCTTGTTCCATGCTTAATTGGAAAGCCGAAGGATATTTTCATGCTGCAAAGCTTAAGGAAAAAGTCTTATTTGAGGTAATTATACTAACCCAAATCGCTTTATGGAGACAAAATCTATTTAATCCCTTGCTCAAAGGGAGTGTTGCTGAAATGAAGGCGCTGGTAGTTACACGATTTGGAAAATCTGATAAAACGGTGTTGCAAACCCCCTTAATGGAGACGATGAGGTAAGCATGTATAACTTACTACTTCTTACTAATGTCAGTGTGAACCGATGCTTCAATTTATATCGTCTGTGTGTACCGACAGTAAAACTTTTGTGAATTTTCAGCCTGTTGCCGAAGGAAGCCCCCCCCCCCCCCCCCCCCCCCGGTTCATTAAGGAGGTTCTCATACTAGTGTGAACCCCATTTATGTAGAGGACGAGGTAAGCATGTATATGTTACTACTCATTAGTTAGTGCAATTCATAATCTATTTGTACCACGTAAAAAGTGAAACTTATTGTATGAATATTGGAGTGTACCTTTCAAGCATGGCATTCCAATCTTGCTCAAAGGTCGTAGTGTACTGAGAGTCATAAACAACATCATGTATGGCTGTCATGATATCATCTTTGTCTACAGGTCCACACATCTTTTCACGCAACTTCTTCATTATGTGCCAGAGACACCATCAGTGCCTTGTGTTTGGGAAAACAATTTGGATGGCATTTTGCATAGCCCTATCTTGATCTATTATAATCCCCATTGGAGCACAACCATCCATACACTCAAGCCATGTTTTGAACAACCATACAAATGTTGATGTATCCTCACTAGAAATTATTCCAAAACCTAATAACACCAACAAACGGTGCAAAAGGCATGCCATAGCGGTTGGTGAGATATGTCGTATCAAATGTAATCACGTCTCCAAAATCCTTGTATGCATATCAACACATATTGTCCGCCCAAAAGACATTACGGAACTGTGACTCTTCGTCCAAGTCAATCGTGAAGAAAAAACCTGGACATTGAGCTTGCATTTTTGTAAAAAAAAAAACCTTGGATGACCATTGCATCCCTATCTCTTAATCTAAGTTGTCGAACTTTTTCTATATAGTTCCTACAGTCCTTTTCAATGAAAGGAAGTTGGTCATATCCACCGGCTTCTACCACCGCTGAATTGAAAGTTTTACAAAGAGGTATTCTGGCAACGTCATTTATTTCGATTTGGTGCATAATCCCCATTGTCAACTTCCTATTACAACGGAATAATCTAGACTTCGTGGGACTCATAGGATGACTATGGTTTTAAAAAACTTGTGATAATACCCATGAACCCACATGATCTGTCTTTGCTCTTATTCTCGCTAAGCACCCATTTTGCATGGAAGGTTGAGGTTTCAAACAGTTTTTCGACCTACTACATCTTTTGCCTGCACGTGAGCACTCAACTACAAATGCGATCAAGTTCCCTTCTTTATCTTTCTTTGAAGTGCGGTGTCTAACATGAAAACCAACACTTTTGGCATACTTTTTGTAGAAATCATAAACTTCATCTTTTGTAGGAAACTGCATGCCTATCTTTGGAATTTGTTCACATTCATCATCATTGTTATCTTCATCTGTTCACATAATCAATTAATTATTTGACATTAGCTCATTCATAGATACAACAGTCACCTTTGTATGTATACATTATAGTAGTAGGGTATATATTAACAACATTCACAGAAAAAAAAAATCTTGATGGGTATACATTAACAACATTCATACATCAAATAGATCTTTGTACGTATACATTAAAAACATTCATAGATACATTAACTCATTCATAGATACAACATCTTTGTAGGTATACATTAACTGAATGAGGATTTCTTCAGTTGTCTATACATACTGACACTACTCTGTACACAAAGACATTAGTTGTCGGTACACACCGACACTGAGTACGTAAGCTGTCTGTGTATGTCGAAGAATATACCTCCAACATATGTGGTCGTCTTCCCCCTCCTATTCCCTTCCCCTTCAAAGCTGTAATCATCCCGACCATCAAATGTCGGAACTTCATTGACGCCTTGTGTGACAGGTCTGCCACCCGTCCCGCCGAAGCCTTCGTCCCTAGCGTTGTTCAAACCACCATCTTCGTCGCTCACAACTCCACCATTTCCGTTCTCCGTCGCAACTTCATCTTCTTCGTTCACAGCTCCCCCATTTTCCATGTTCAGAGTTTTTGCGTTTCTTCCATTTTCGTCAACCGTCGTCCGTCGCAGGTAGGTATCTTCCACACCTCCGTTGTTTCCGGTTACTTCTCCATCCACCATCAAGTCATCCATAATATCTGGAAGAAAAAAATTACAAAATATCGTCCGCCGCGGGAAGAAGAGAACGAACAGATGGGGAGAGAAAAAATGTGCGTGAATGTTGGGGAGGAGAGGGTTGTGCGATAGAAGGGAGGGGTAAAGAAAATAGTAAAAAAAAGTCTTATATATGGTGTACCCCAGGGTGTACATCAAGACTTTTTGAAACAAAAAATAATCCCTATTTAGAATAATCCAAACCTGCCATACTGAAATAGAATAAATGCTTCGAAAGTGTATTTCATTTGAATCTCTTGGGCATGACAAATCTAATTTCTTCTCCATCTTGTTAGTATTTTATGTTCATAAGATCTAAATGACACATGGCCGCTTGCGACCGAAACCTGCTCACATTCATCCCTCTGAAGAACAAACACCCAAACGAAAAGTGAAGTGCAACAATTATTTTTTTCGTAATATCTGAAGAAATAGTTCCAATTGATTTAATATAAATGCAATTGACGATTCATGTAAATCAGAACGAATAAGGCATACCAATGACATGAAAATTCGATCCCTTATCTACCAATAGTTATATTTATTTAGAAAGATATAGTGGATGAAAGCTTAGCGCTAATATTGTTTATTTAGTGGACCATAATGGTGAAGAACAAAGGATGCTCTTTGAGGCCTAGCAATATCAAGTTTTCGAAATTAATTTGACACAAATAACTTTCAACTAGATTGCTATAAAAACCCTTATGTAGAGGAAGTAATTGTATTGTATGGGAAGATATATGATACTCCCTCCCTCCCGGAATTATCTTCATTCTTTCTTTTTCGGTCCGCCCCAAATTTATCTCCTTTTTCCCTTTTTGGTAAAGAATATGTGGTTCACAACCATTCTTACACATTTCTCTCTCCTCTGCATAACTCTCCACCACACAAATCCCACTATCTTAAAACCCGTGCCCGGTCAAAATCGGAGTTAAATATGGGACGGAGGGAGTATATGTTAAACAGAAATAGACCTAGATAAAACCGGCCCGGCCCACCCAGCCCAACCGCACAAATGGGCGGGCTTGGGAATATATATTTACCCACCGGGCCGGCCCGAGCCCGACCCACAATAAGATATAGGCGGGCTTGGGTTAGGGTGTAGGCCCGTTCGGCCCGATAAGCCCGGCCCACTACATTTAGTATATATATATATATATATATATATATATATATATATATATATATATATATATACGAATTTATTTATTTATTTGCATATACACATATATATTTATATTTACTAATTTTTCTTTAAACATATTTATAGTTTATTATGTTTAAATTTAAATTTTTAGTTCTTAACAACTAGCCCAACCAATATAATATCTATTTTTGTACTTACAGATAATACTTTGTGCTTAAATTTTAAATTTTAGATATAATTTCTCATTATTATTTTTGTGTAAGTATTTTTTGTATGTGGTGAAAGACGTATAAACATTATAAGCGCATTAATTATTTTTTAAATGTTGTAATATTATTTTTAAAGTATTTAAAAAATCATATAATTTCAAAAAATTTAAAATATTCCCGGGGCCGGACGGCCCGGTGGACTACCCGGCCCGCTCTTATAGGCGGGTATGGACATAGGGTTAGGCCCGTTTTTGCGGGCCGGGTCGGACCCACCCGCACATGATGGGCAGAAAATTTATAAAATGTCTGGCCTGAACCCGGCCCGAACCCGTTTTTGTACAGTCTAAACAGAAATACAACACAGAGAAGAGGAGGGATAATGAAAAGACCCAATAAACATGACAATGGATTAAACGGTGTAGCATTATTAAACGATAACTCTGTCCCATTTATTATGTTTTTGTAAAACCTAGTAGGAATTGAACAAATCACTAACGTACTATGCTTATATCATAGTAACCACTAAATTACATTGTTCACTTATTACAGTCTCCTTTATAAATATAATATAACATATATAGATTTATAGTGCTAGCTTACTTCATGTACGGTTCGTATATAGTGCATCCGGGTGTACGTACACTCGGTCCAAGTATGAAAGACGGCCCAAACATTAATACACGCCAAAAAAAATTCGGTGGCATATTTGTAATTTAAGCGAAAATTCACGGCTTCCGCTAAATGAGCAATATTGTACGTTTAGTGAGCATCCAACCTATTTTATTGAGTATTACGAGGCTAACAATGAGTAACACGATCTCAACTTCATATCTTCTAATTTTTGTTCTTTTTCTTATTTTTTCTTTTATAAAAACTTATTAAATTATATCTATAATACACTCTTATGAATTTCAATATGTGAATTTAGTGTAATATGATACTTTTGAAATATGCATTGATATGACATTTTAAAAAGAGCATAACATCAATACGAAATGAGCATACGTAACTTACAAAATGTTAATTGATATGAAAATCGTAAGGTTTGTTAGTTTGACATAACGACATTTTCATTGAGCATCAAACCTTCTCTATTGAGATAAAAATCACAGTTTCTGTTAAATGAGCATTAATGAACTTTTAATGTGTATCAAACTTATTATGAGCATTAAAACACTTTTAATTTCATTTGAAATTGCTAATGTACTCAAATCCTTATTTGTCTATACTCATTTCGTTTAAACATTATGCTCATTTGGCACGTGAGAGCGATGACAAGGGTTGGATTAATTTATGAGGCCCTTCATATTAGAATTAGAATCATAATAAAACTACAATGCTCTAGAGGACTCTTATATAAATATAACCCCTGCGGTCTGCATAATCATCCTTGCACCATTGATTTCAAGACCCATAGCTACAGAGATTTCTGGAAGCAGAGTTAATAGCTGGTAACTTTTCTTCTTTACTGTTCTTTTTTTTTCTTTTGGTGCATTGCAGGGGAAATTCATTGGAAGCAGAGCTCGAGATGTTGCTGGCCGGAAATTTGTTGACGCAGCGGACAGATGTTTTACGGAGGCAAAGTTGCTGCTGATTTTTTTAATCCAGAATTCGCTGCTCTTGTCTGGTGCTCCGTCCAAGAAGGAAAGGTTTGATTGATTGCGGACAACACCGAGAGTTAGTGGTAGAAGCAGGTCGCTGCTCCCCCTGTTTGCCGGGCTAATTTTTTGTTGTTGATTCCTGGCGAGGTCTATGTCGTTGGTCGTTGAGCTTGGGGTTGAACTCCGACGGTGAGCAGCAGACCGATGGTGAGCTTGGTCGCTGAGATCTCTGATTTCTCCTGTTTGTTGCAGGAGAAGAGTCACGTCATTTAAAAACCGGGTGTACATGTACACCCGGGTGTATAATATAATTTGTCACTTCATGTATTACTCGTTCCCTTAGAATGCTATTTTTTCATCAAATAATTAAATAATGTAATAATAATTATAAAATACTTAATTGCAGTTTCAGATATTCAATTAAAAGTCATAATAAAATAACGTAATTTGATATATGCAATTAAACAAAAATATAAAATAACTTTACACTAAATAAAATTAAAAACTAAATGCCATACTAGGTCCCAACCCACCTAAATTTAAAAAACTATTACATTATGAACGTAAAAATATTCGTGTATTTTAATGTTAATTATTTTAATTTATTTAAATGAATTTCAATGTAAAAAGATATAATGTACAGTTTTACATTAATAATATAAAGATCTTTTTACAATTGGGTGGTTTTAAGCTACGGGTGGGTTTGATTCGGTTTTACATTTCAAAATTTGGAACCGCAGTTTGATTGGTTCGGTTTGATTTAGTTCAATTTTGCCTTTTTTTTCTTCAAATTTTTTACAAAAAATTGTTATTTTGTTTAAATTGATACAATAGTTGTGGAGATCAAACATACCGAGTATTACATAACAATGCAAGCGTATTAAAACAAATAAAATAATGTAAAAAAGAGAAAATAAATATGTCTTGAATTATATGAGTATGTGGAAGAGAATACATTTTTCCAAATTTTTGAAATAAAAGTATATATCCTTATTTTTACTTTTTTTGTGACTAGTTTGAATATATACGTACTATGTGCTATAGTTTAAATGAATATTTAATTGCTCTATCAATATAAAGACTTTAAGTTACATAAAATTAAAAGTTACTAGCAAAGTAGCAATACTCAGTAAAAACATATCACCATCATGTAACAAATTGCAAAATACTCCCTCTGTTTCATTAAATATCATCAACTTTGACTTGAATTGGAATTTAAGAAAGTGAGAATAAAGTAGAAATGTATGATTGTGGTTGAGTAAAAAAAAGGTAAACGAATGATAGCCGGACAAAATTTTCCAAAAAGGGGAAATGAGTTGGAACAACATAAAAAGGAAAGTGTGACTATTTTATGGGACGAGGGAGTACATAAATAAAAGATATAATAGATCAATATAGCTACATTATCATAGGCAATGAATGTATAAAAGCATTCAAAAAATAAACTAAATTAACACAAGAAAACCCAAGACTATTGATGATATTAGATGTTAAACGATTAACAAATAAAATCTCATATTTTAATTAGTTCGGTTTATTCAGTTCACTTTGGTTTTGAAGGGTAAAAATCAAAACAGAACCAAACAATTACGGGCTGGTTCGATATTTTACATTCGGTTTTATTTGCTTGTGGATTGATTTATTTTAATTTGGTTTTCGATTTTTTGGACCCAACCCTAGTTTAAAAGACATAATAGATCAATATAGCTACATTATTATAGGCAATGAATGTGTAAAAGCATTCATAAAATAAACTAAATTAACACAAGAAAACCCAAGAATATTGATGATATTAGATGTTAAACGATTAACAAATAGAATCTCATATTTTAATTAGTTCGATTTATTCAGTTCAGTTTGGTTTTGAAGGGTAAAAATCAAAACATAACCAAACAATTACGGGCTGGTTCGATATTTTACATTTGATTTTATTTGGTTGTGGATTGATTTATTTTAATTTGGTTTTCGATTTTTTGGACCCAACCCCAGTTTAAGCCCAATCATGGCATTTATTTATTATTTATTTTATTTATCATAAAGTTATCTTAAATCATTTTTACATAGCATATGTAAATAGTTTTTAAATTATTATTTTTTACTCCAAGGGGGTCTGAGGAAAGGGGTCGGAGGGTCTGGAGTAATCAAAGCTGAAACTCAATCCATTGAATTTCAAACCTTTATGTGCCTAGCGGGTTTCGAACTCGAAAGTCGAAACCTCCTACTAGGCCGGTAACTTCACAACCAGCTAAAGTATATTTTTAGCTTGTATGTCATATTTTACAATCTTTTATTATTTTACGAAAAGTAAATATAAAAGTATACAACTAATAAGCAATTTACCTTTCAAGTGGTGGAGAAATTCAAATTAGTTTTTGCTTATTATTTTACGAAAAGTAAATACTACAAAACATTCCCATATTAATACTACGACTAAATACGTAGAAGGCTAATTTCTTTCCCGCAGTCAGGACTCAGGAATAAGGTTCTATGCAAAACATTCCCATATTAATACTACGGCTAAATACGTAGAAGGCTAATTTCTTTATTTGAGTGTTAACGACCACTTGCACTGTTATCTTCAATAAATGACATCGAGGAAATGGGGAATAAATGAAATTAACAGCTCCAACCAGTTAATCAAATCAATTTTTATCCTACAAAATGCAAGATGTGAATCATTTATGATATGCATCTTGACCGGAGGCAGTCAGTTTTATGGACATTAACCATATAGTTAGTAACTCGGCAGCTTTTTCCTATATATCTGTTGTAAATTGTTGAGAAGTATTGTAGTATGATGATGTCAATATAATAAGCAAAAAACTCCCAGCCACAATATTTCTAGCATCATGATTCCTTCTTCTTAATGTGGTATGGGTATTTTTGGTAAATAGAGATGCTAGTCATGACCAGTGGTAGCGCCATGAGACAGTGCACTGAAGGAGGTTTACCATCAAAGATGAACTGCAGTATAGCAGTAACAAGAAGGGCAGAGACAATGACGAACCCCTGCTAATTATTATGTAATAAGTATAATACAAAATATCAGTGGTAAATAAATATGATAAAAACTGCAGAACAGAGTCAGATGAAATTGGGCAAAGGTCAAGCTTCCAGTATCTTGTGTATCTCGATGCTCAATCTACTGTCAAATAACTATCGCTTCAGGTCTTTACGAGCATATTAAGGAATAACTAAATTTTTCTGAAGTCATTAATTAACATTATGCATGGTACAATATAAAGAAATCTCCCTAAATAGAAGTAAAAACAATATTGTTTCCCTAAATTGGAGGCTTGGAGCACTACATTTTTTTCTTAAATAAGAGTAAATACCTTCATGATGAAAAAACTGGCATATTATGGTATAAATACACTAATATTAAAGCCTGGTAATAATGCCATAATATAGGAGTATGATTTCAAGATGTCAGTATTTACTTCTATCTAGGGAGAAAAATCATGTGTACTCCTATATTGTACTCAAGTTCCGGGGAAAGGTGATCAAAACAAAATAGGAGTTTTAGAGTCGGGTGTTACGGGTGATTGCACAGATTCTGGGTGGGATAATGCAAATCAGGATTCTACAGATAATCTTTATGCGGCTTTTGATTTTGAGGGAGCTTTTGGAGGATCGTACTCTACACTTTCAGGTGATGAATTCCTCAGTCATGTCTAGGAAAACGAGAAGAGGGTTACTATTTCAACGGAGGGAGACCTTTGGGATTCTATTACCAATGAGGTTATTTGTCAAAAAGCTTTGCTAGTCACACGAGAGAATTGTTTACCCACTCAAAACTTGAACACGCAAAGGAGAATGTACAAAAAGAAGAATCAGAGATCGCATCTTATGAGAACTAGATCTCAAACTCGAGTGGGTCTTTGAAGATTCGACTAAGGGCTCAGGTATCTTAGGGAATGAATTTAGAGTCCTGCTTGGTGTACACGCCGGGTTACACGCCGGTTAAATTGTTTGTATACAGACAATTTGATCGGCTAGACAGACAATTTGGCCGGCATTTTATGAAGAAAATCGATTTTCATACAGACAAAATATTAAGAGTTGTCTGTATCACAGACATTTTAAACCTGAATTTTTCATAAAGTGTTTGTGATACAGACATTTTTTTTATTTTTGTCTGTGTGAAAATCGATTTTCTTCGTAAATCGCTGCTCAATATGTCTGTGTAATCGATCAAATTGTTTGTACACAGACAATTTGACAGACGTGTAACCCGGCGTGTAAAACTTGTCGTGTACAAAAGGAATTTTCCATGAATTTATTACTTTAGTTTGGGTTGGGTGCTACTCTTGTTTATTTTAGTTTTTTTTCTCTTCTTTTTCTTCTTTTCTCCTCAATTTCCTTGTACTTTGCTCTTTTTAATAAAGTTTAAGTACTCTGTATTATTTATGGATGGAAAACAACAATCGTAAAAAATGAAAAATTATTGCTTTCTTGGTATTCAAAAGTGACAGATATCTGAGAACAAAAATATGGCTAGAAAGGCAATTAATTGAGAACAGGGAAGTTCTTACTATGGTTGACAAAAAGCTAGTCCACATCATAAACTGGACATAATCCAATCTTTATGTGGGGAAATGAAGAAGCGTTACCATGGGAGTAGAAACGCCAACATTATTTGATGCACTTATTAGTAGTTAGTACATAAAAGTACTTGCACGGGCTGAAAACTATCACCTTCATATGAAATGTATAAATATATGTAGGCCTGTGTTTGGCATGTCTTAAAATGAAATAGAGGATTCTTATAGTGATACTTGCCTTTCGAACACCACCAGCATAGGAGGTCACAAGACCAACAAGAATTCCACCAACAGCATTAATCGTGATGGGGATCTGAAACAAAACAATTTAAATTCAATTTTAAAAATGTACTCCGTATATAGTTACGGATATTTTTATTAACTAATACTCCGTAATTCACAAATTTACATATGATTGGACCATTTTTGGTTTTAAAAGACAAATTTATTTTTATTAACTTTATACATACCATCGTCAATGGAGTCCATCCATAAAAAAAGCCATGTCGTCTCATAGCTTCTCCATCTGGAGACTTAAAAGCACTAGCTATCAAGCACAAACTCCCAATTATCGACATCTCTATGGTCATCATGTAAGAACTATGTTTCTTTATCTGTATACCGAAGAAAAAATAGAAAGAGCCGTAAATCAGAAGCTGCACATTGTCAGCATAGTAAAGAGAAACATGAGGTCTACTTGCCTGACAGGCCCATTGACACAATGCAGAAGCCAGCCCAGAGAGTACAGATGCAACCAAGACAGGAATGATCCCATAAAATAAGATGTCATCAGAATTATTATCATTATTACTGACAGATGCCTTACTGGATCCTTCACCAATACTTAGAAGTACAGCTGCAACTATCAACAAGAAAAGAGCCCCAATTTGTTGAATAGATTGCTTCTGCCTACAAATAGCACCGACAAAGAATGTGTTTGCAGATATGTTACTATACTCGCAAGCCAACTTTGAAAAGAAAGTTAAAGCAGCATCACTACAACTAAAGATTGGATAAACTTAACTAGTTAACTTTAAAATGTAGTTTTGTTAAACCTTCCGCTAAATCAGTATGCATAACCACAGTGACGACCAATTTAATACTACCTCCGTCCCGTTGGAAGGTTCCCATAGCAAAACGGCACGGTTATTTAGACAATAATTAAATAAAGTACTTCGAGTATATTTTAAGAAATAATTTTAATAGGTATATATTATAATGTAGTTAGTATTGATAACTGTGATGTTATAAATGTATTATTTTTAATATTTAATGATTAATTTGTCACTTAAGATTGTTAATTGTTTCATAAAATGGAAATGAGAACCTTTATATGGGACGTCCAAAAAGGGAAAGTGAGAACCTTCTAATGGGACGGAGGGAGTACATTATTTTGCCAAAACAATTATGAGTATCAAGTGAGAGCAGTAAAACTCATATTAAAGGGAAAGTATCAACTGTGTGTTGACCAGGCACATACCTCAATATGAAATAGGTAAACAAAGCAGTGAAAAAAAGCTTTGTTTGGTTCAAAATTGAAAAAGTGAGTGAATCAAGGTTTCTGTATGAAATCTGCAACAAGCTATTTTGGAGCGCATATATAGCAGCAGGCAACCCTGAGGCAGTCAACGAACTGACCAAAGTCCAATTCCTGTACAGTTTCTTCAGATTACCTTCTTTTGATATTATAATAAAAGCACATGTTATCTGCAATGAATTTCAATGCCACTGAGTGTACATGACAATGAATTAAAGATCAAGCCAAAATTGGGGGAGGGCCTGCCACTTGACTTGGGTTGGAGAAGCAAAAGGTGAAAAAGAAGATATTACCTTGACTATCTCACATGCTAAAACAGATGAAGTCACAATCACTTGTTGGCTGCAGGAAGATTAGAACATGAGCTTCAAGAGGGACCATTTTCTTATCAGGAGTGACATAACATAAAGATTATATTTGTGCAACGGACAATATATTATTATAGTTTAGATGATCAGGTACAAAACAAGTAATTTTAACATGACATAGAGTTTTAGATACAACTATGTAAACAATATCCACACAAATAGCTTCGAAAAAAAATTCATACTTTGGGGGCGGGAGTAGGGGGGAGAAAAACTAGTTTTAACTTTTAACTTCCATAATTTTAACAGCAGATACTTAGGGTTATAAAGCTTAATTGTTTGCAACCAATACGAATATATATAGATATAAATAATTATAGACTATGAACTAATTCATATGACTATATGATGTGTGACCATTATGTCCCCCTCCTAGCCTCCTAAGATATTCATACGTATTGACATGATTTATTCAAGTTTACCCAAGTAGATTACACGCTTCAGATACTTAGTAATAAGGGAGAAGTTCTTTTGGCAGTTGGCAATATTTAGTCCGCAGGACTCCACTAATTAGTCAAATCTTATGTATTCCAACACCTGAATGATGAAGATATTTTCTTCTATGAACAAATATTGTGTGTCAAAATCAACCCTTGAACTACGATTACTGCTGTACTGATAATCCAGCAGGCATGCTTAAGCTGTGAATTTTTCTTTCTTTACATTATGATGCTTCCATTTCCGGACAT